AATATTCCTGTGATTTAAGTCAACAATCAATTCGATCAAAATAAAGAGTATCAAAAGCAAATTATTCATCACATTTTCAATCGACTGTCTTTCTATCTCCAGATCCAGAAACACGAAACTGAATATTTTAGTTCAGATTTTAGTTTGGTTAAGTTTTTATTAGAAAATGAATTTTACTCAAGATCCTTTAAACGTTCTAATGTCTTTTAATCCATCCAATCCATATGTAAAGTTATCTGAAGAATTAACTCTTGAGAATATCTTGAGTCGTGTTCCTATGAAATTTGAATATCTAAAAGATATAAAAGGGATAATGAAACTTTTGATGACGTTTTAAAATCGGCCAAATATGACATTATTTTTCCAAAGGTAACGCCGTTCTTTTTTCGACCCGATGATGATTTGGCATTCGGCCCGGTGATAGAAAGTAGCGAATGTGTCTTCTTGAATATTTACCCAAATTCATCAAGTAGTACGATTGACAAGGGAATCTTGTCATCGTTTGAGTTCATCGAATATTCAATTTATATTTTCATGCTTATCCTAATTATCCTTGCACTGGTAATATATTTTACTCGATTGGGCCACTTTATCTCTGAGAAATCTTCATTTGGTCAATTTCTCATAATAATCAAAGGTAAATTTGGATTATTCTTATTTCTTACCTGTTCGTTTTCCGTTCATTACATTTTCCATCTATTCTCAACATCGTTCACGACTCAATACTCGATATCATTTCGACCATCTCCAATAAACAAATGGTCCGACTTGTATTCTCATCCCAAAGTTAATTGCACTGCTTTTGATAGTCTATGTTTCTTAAAAGCCAATAAGTCTTTCGGTGACCAAAGTCCAATCGTCCCAATTAAATCAGCGGCAAAACATTTCCGAGAAAATCTTAATCGACCAATTTTGGTACATTTCGGAAGTAGTGAAATACACAGTCAGGTAATTAAACTCTTTTGCCAAGAAAAGCTCGATAAAAGGAATAGAACCGATTTCCTCGTCCACATTAGCTCAAGTTCCTATTACACAGAACTGACCTCTCTGGCCTATTCTATGAACACGAGCTTTAATAAGAAACGCTGGATCATCAGGTCTTTATATTCATGCGCTGAACAAGGATATTGTAGTGTTGCTCAGAGTAGAGCGGTAAAAGTGGCCTCAACTAAATATCTAACAGTAGATTACCCACCATGTTGGCGATATGAGAAATTGAGTGCTACACCTGATGGGGCATATGAACCGATCACTTATTCCAATTATGCTGATTTAATTCAGCTCTTTGTATCACTTAACATTCTTGCATTGATTGTCTTTTATATTGAATTTTTCGTTCATCAAATGAACCAATCGAGTCCGAAGTTGAAACTTCAGGTCACTTTTTCTCAGCAATGACAAGCTTTCAGATGATGAAATTTTTTATTTCATCGGCAACTTTTCATATTAAAAATATTTTAGGAAATTTTATTAGGTAAATTATTTAATTAGTAAATTAATGTTGTTAATGCTGTTATTCGAGAGTCTTTTGAATTTAACCCTCGGTTGCTACTCTCTGAAAAAGTAACAATAAAACTACTCTACTGACAAAAAAGTCCGAATTTTTGCAGCAGTAAAACCATAAAGTGGCAATACAATAAAAAATTTTATTACCCTAACCTTTGACTTTTTTTTTGTTTTTGTCATCTTCGGTCAGTTTTGTTTTTCTTTTCAAACTTGTTGGTTGTTTTCTTTCTTTTTTTGTGTTTTCCTTTTTCAAGTTATTTTGTATTCTTTTATCTCATTGTTCAATTTTCATATAATAATGGAATTAATAAGTACTTGTGGTGTGATTGACAAATATGATGCTTTTCTTGATGATAATATTGATGAAGTTCATCCAATTAATAGAAAAGGAAAAAAAGTGAAATTAAATGAACCTGATTATCATTATATTGCCATAAGGATATACCTGTTTTTCGGATTTATACCTGTGATAAGTGATATTTTCCAATTGGATAAAAACCGTATTAAGGATTTATTGTGCTTCATTCGTTTCGCTCACGGTGATAAAAATTTCGACAACAATATTAAGAGATTTAAAACTTTCATTCATCGTAAGTGGCTGGTAATAAATACCTCATTTGATGAAATTCAAGCTTTTTATTGCTCTGTAGCTTTGGCAATGGTTCTAACAAAAACTACTCTCATGCCATTTTTGTCATTTAGCCGATCTAGTAATGATTTTAATTAGATTACAGGTAAAATGAAAGAGTAATTGGTTTGAAAATTTCTGGAGCTATTGACAAAGGTGCAATTGACAAAGTCGTAAAACCTTGAAAATATAACTAAAGTATAATTGCGACGGTTTACATTTGAAAAAGCCTAAGGACAAAATTGTCCATAGAGTAGCAACCTAGGGTTAATGGAAATAGGTTCTCTTTGGAAATGATTTGTCATTTTACGATTATTCATTGTTAAAGTTTTGTTAACATTTTGATTTGGAGATTCGAATAGAAGATGAACTTCACTCAAGATCCTCTTAGTGCTCTAATCAGTTCCTACAAGACATTGAATTGTTAGCTGAAATTTTTGTCGTCAAATCGAAATTCTCCATGATCCATTCCAATAGATATTCTGGTTCACTATCCATCTGGAGACGACTGAATGTTGTAGAAATATAATTTGTATTTTTGATGGTACTTTTCGCAGCAAAATGAAAGGAAAATTTTCTAAAAAGATTTGCCTCATAGAGAAAATTATCGAAAGTTGGACTTTCGCAACGCAGACAATCGCAGAAAATCTTTTCAACTTCTTGTTCGGTTACAAGTCCAAATGTATCATAGCCTTGTACCTATTCCTTATCAAAACAACTAAACAGAAATCGTCCAAAAGTAAATTGAACTTCAACCGATTTGTCGAATAAAAAGTGAGGGCAACAAGAAAATCAGATCAAATTAAGTCACTTTATTCATGTTTCGAGAAAGATTAACTGAAGATTAATTTTTAACTTTGCTTGAACTTTTTTCAAATAATTTGTGTTTTCTTTTCCTACTCGGTTCGTTTTGTATTCGTCTTGGTTGAATTTACGAACAATTCATGGCCTTGGAGCCCGTCTTGCTTTCATTTCCAAATAATACTTGGTACAGTGCTTTAGAAAATTTTCACCAATGCAGCAACTCCTTGATTGTTGATTTCTTGAAAGGAGTTGACTCAAAAGATTGACAACTTGGTCATCGATTTCAATTTGTTCATCGAAAAGACCAAACATATAGAAGGGTCCATATTTCGAAGACTAAAATGAAAATGAAACAATAATTGAATTTGATTAAATACAATTTAATCATTAGATGATCAATGTTATTGATTTTAATCGAACCAAATTCTGGCCATATAAAAGTGTTTCGATCTTTAAATTTTGTAACTCATTTTACTTCAATATTCAAGAGTCTACATCTAAAATATCGTTCAAATCTAACCATTGGTTCTCGAGATATTGAGACAAACGTCCGTAAAAGTTTTAAAAAAATCCAGTATATTTAATTTTTAAATTAACTTTCATCAAACTATACATTAACCCAAGGATTGGCCATCTAATCAATAGAATCATAATTGACTAATGTTAATTGAAAAAGTAATTAACTGATCTACAAAAAAAATAGAAACTTTTTTCCTTTTCTTTAAGAGTTTTTTTTTCATGATTTACTCATTTTAATTAATTTTCTTGTACTATATTTCATTGATTTGATCAGTCCAGCGGTGAAAACACCCTTGGCACTTTGTGTCCAACTTGATTTCCTAACAATTTGTCTAATTGCTTGACGAACATCATCAGAATACTTGTAACTTTGAGCGATCGCCATTAAAACATCATCCAAATCACGAAGTTTACCTCGACTTTCATAATTGAAATATAAATTTTGCTGAACTCGTTTCGGTAATAAACTTAAATTGTGACAAATAACTCGTGGTGATAAATCTTGAAAATAGATTCGTTGGTTACTGTTAAAAGATAATAATCCTTTCTCAATGGACGAACCAATATAAGGCTGATAAATTGATTTAAATTTCTCAATATTTGGTTTCACTATTTTGGCCACTTTGTTACGATCCTCACCAAAGGTCATCCGAAAATCGCCATCGTAGCTTAAATTGGCTATTGTTATAAACAATTGTTCCTCGGTAAAAGTTTCACTGAGCAAAAGGAGAGCTGAATAGAGAGCATTTTGATGGTTAATTGTTAAGGCTTTGGAAATACTTCCATCATCACTTGGTGAGTGAATAATTTTCACCGGCTTATGAAGACGCCCGGAGGTGTAAAGATGATCCCAATCGTAGAGATCATTGATTAGATTTTTTCGATTAATTATTCCATATTTAAGTAAACATTCAGCTCCATTATCATCTTTGATTGGAATCAATGTATTAAAATAAATTGAGGCTCCAAAATTATCTTGAATATTGGTAATCACTTTTGCACCGAAACGTTTTAAAATTGAATAGTGATTCTGGTTGGTTGATAAATTGTTCTCATGAAATTTAAGGCTATCGTCAACTACTACAATCATGTCAATCATTTTCACTTGCTCTTCAGATGATGATGGTGATGATGAAAACCATGATGTCAATTTATTAATTGGTTTAATCAGGCGGGAAGGTGAAGTCGTTGAGTTTACAGAATGACCAACAACACCAAGGGAAGACACTGATTGTTTAAAAACTGCCGATCCATAGGCAAAGGCGAAACAATAACCACCAGGTAAGAGAGAGAGTAAATTTTTCAGATAATATGAATTAACCAGAGACATTTAATCATCAAATTATGAATGAAAATTTAGCAGAAAAAAACAACTAAGAAAATAATCAAAACAATTAATGTAAACAAGGAAAAAAAATTAGAAATCATATGTTAATAGAAATGTTTCATTCTACTAGATGGAGCCACTTGTTGATCAAAATTCTAAATTAAATTGAATTAAGTGATTAAAGATTTTGATTAAATGGAAAAATATTGAGAACAATTTAATGATACAAATGATTTATTATAATGACTTTGAACCTATGGAAGATTCAATTGTGAAACAATTAGTTTTGATTGTTTGGAAAACATTAATGATCAAGAAACTTGTTTTTCTCTTATCATACAATATTTACAGTTTAATTGTTGATATAAAAATCTGATTACTTGATTAGTTAATGAACAATTATATTGTCTCTAAGGGTAATTGTTTAATCAAGTTGGGCAATCTAATTGATTTTAGTTTTGAACAATTTGAGAGCAAAACAACAAAGTTGTCAACTTAATTCACCCATCATTTGTAATTACTCAATAATTATATTATTATTACATCAATTAGGTATGAGAATACATTACAATTATTAACAATTAATAATTAAATTCTAAAATTAGGTTATACAATTAAGAGAAAGGTGTTCAGTTGAATCAAGGAATTAAATTTGATTCCAATGGAAATATAAATATAATCTGTAAAGTAATTCCATTCACAGATTGATATTTATAAATAGAAATGAATTTAAAGTAAACCAATTAATGTTTAATCACGTCGATAACCAAATCATCGCAATTAACTAATATACTTTTGATGGTGTTTGTGATCGTTTTAATTACAATTAGATGAGATTGTATCGGTTGCAATTGAAAATCTGAGTCTTTTCCTAATTCCAATCAATCGCGTTTACTTTTTTTTGGTCTTGACTCTTTGGCATTTTGTTTTCTGGTTAATTGTTGGGTAACAATTAACTTTCGTATCATTTAGGTTTGTAAAATCTTCTGATATTAAGACAGTTTTTAATTGTTGAAACTTTCTTTTTCTTATTAAGTGTGATAATACTCGTTGTCGGTTTTAATGGTATCGATGATTTAATTGGTATCGTTGGCGAGCTGTTAAATGGTTGTAGAGTTTTAATTGCTTCCATCTCGTCGATTCTTTCACGAATAATTTGTTGAAAGGTGAGACATGAGATTCGGTGAAACAATGGGATCACATTTTCCCCTGTTCGAGCGGAAACTGACCAGTATTCAGCTTTCAATTTATCGGCGATTTTAATTGCCTCCGATTCATTAAACTCTCGAGCTGCAGGGGAAATTGCATCAGCTTTCGAGCCAATGAGAAATATAATCGGATTCTTGGTACATTTCAACACTTCCCTTGACCAATTTAGGGAATTAAGTAATGACTTGACATTAGTTAAATCGAAAACAATTAAGGCAACATTTGACCCTCGAAAATAGGAACTGGCCAATGAACGGAATCGCTCTTGTCCAGCAGTATCCCAAATCTAAATTGAAAGATAAAAATATAAATCACAAAGAACAAGTTAAAATTAGAACAATTAAAATTACCAATTACAGATCATTGATTAGCTGATTGTTAAGGGGAAAATTTAATTCATCACAATTGAAACAATTGTAATTGTAATTAAACAATGAGCCGGGCAAACATATTGGCAAAAGAGACTCAGATATTATTGTACTCAATGTAATTGATTAAGGTTATGACATTAACTGATTGTCGTGATTAAAAATGATTATCAAACTGATGAAAACCTTGTTAATGTTCAATTATTATTTAATTATTATTATTTAACAATAACCTTGAAAATCAACTCAATAAACGATTAACAATCTAACCAATGATTAAGATGAAATTGTTTACATGATCATCAACTTAATGAACCGCAAGGAAATCTAATTAAATAGTGAAGGTTTATTTTCATGTCTTCTTGATTCAGTTCACTCTTCAATTAATATAAATATGATAATTTAAATTGTTCGGTTGGTGTTGAAATTAAATTAACTTCACTTTCTATTCTTTGTTAATTGTTAAATTAACGTAACAAGTTAAGTAATCAAGAGGATGAGAAGGATAACTGAAAGTTTAATTTTCAGATTTTCTTTTACTGTGTTGATTTTAGGCTGAATTTTTAGTCTAATCATTGCACTTGGATAATTAAAACATGGAAAACGAATTCAGTTTCATGGTAAACGGATATTTCCTCACTCAATTGAATAAGTTCAAGGATGAACATGATGAATGGGAAATAAACATTCAACGAAATTGATGTTCACAGAAAAAAACCAGATTAGTTCAATTGAGAAATTGGGTTCACTCAAGTTTCCTCGTTGTTGTTAACTAATTATAACCAAAATTCTGCTAATTAATTTTCCTCTGGAAATGAGTCATTCTTTGTACAAGGCAGATGAATTAGGATAATCTTATAATCCCTCCGAAAGATACAAGAGATTAAGGTCATTCAACACAATCAACTATACTGAAAACAAGGATTAAGAATGAAAAAATTATTACTTAATTGTTACGAAACTGGCCAAGAATTAGTTGATCAATTGGCAAAGACATTGACAGAGGTAAAGGATTTTATGATTAGGGTTAATTGTTGTTGATTAAACCTTGATGATTATCAGCTATTGATTAACCTTGATTAACCGTCATCATCATAATCATCATCATCATAGTAATTGTCAACCCTAAGCCTTGATGTTAACCTTTTTCCTTGATTACCTTGTGATAATAACAATGAAACAATTAATGAATAATTATCGGAAAATAATTATCACAATTAAAATTTGATATTAAGAAAAAAGTTTACAAGAAATAACAAGATAAAGCTAATTGCTATGGTTATATTATGATAATCAATGAGAAAGTTAATTCATTATTCAATATTATTGATTCCTAATTGTAATGAATCAAAGTTAACCATATTAAATTGTTGAACAATCAGCAGGATAAATTGTTCCTGAAGGGCAACCAAAAACAGCAAAGATTTTTTTTCTTCATTGGAAAACAATTGTTAACATTATTTACCATCGAATGCTGTTTCATCAAAGTTAATTGATTGTTACAATTAACTTAAACTAGTTCAATTTGATTAGAATCATAAAAACAACATAACAATTGTAATAATAATGAATTATTATTATTACAATCGATTTACAACTGAATCGTCACCTAGCCTTTATTAAGTTAATTCAGTTTGTCTTTATTGACTTAATTGTATAGCAATTGAATTTCAATTGTCAGTTTAGTTTATCAGTATTCAAGACAATTAACAATTATCTCTCTGTATTGTGAAGATGATCAATGTTATTGGACTTGTTGCTAATGTTAAGAGTTGAATGTGATGATTTAATAAGATGATTAATTGTTTTCAAGGAAAACTTGGTTAAGCTTGAATGAGTCAAATCAAGATAATTATCATGATTAGAAAGTCTCATTAATAGTAATCATAAATACAATGGAGGTTCATTCCAATTACCCTGAATTCTGGTAAATTGAGAGGTGATAAAATTAAGTTAATCATATGAGAGACTTAGGAAAACATTTACTCAGCAATTTTGATCATCGTCAATCTGATTACCATTTTCATGATAATTAGCACATCTAACAAAACAACGTTGATATTTTTTCATGTCAACTTACTTGAAGATCAAATTGATTGCCCAGAATTGAATATTTTTGAATCTCGAAATCAACACCAATGGTATCCTTATGTTCAAAGGTAAATTCATCACAAGATGATCTTTTAAGTAGAGATGTTTTTCCAACACCAACATCACCTACAAGAATACACTTTGCTGATCTTGTCCATTGATAAGGTAACAATTTCTGTTGATCACAATAATCAATCACCTTCCAATCAAAGGTAACTTCACGTCCATAGGGTGAGGCATCATTACGATAAGGTACCTGGAAACTGTTGATCTCCTGAGAGATCGTCATGATTATTTAATCTCGACCAGGAAACCCAATGGATCCTCGAGTTTTTCAACTTAAGGGAATGGAAGAAAAAAGTTCACTTAGAGTTAAGGTTTAAACGAGTGAAGATAAGAATGGGAATTGATTTAATCACAAGAAATTAATTTGAATTAAATGTTTCCTGTTGAATAAGTTGAAGAAGAGAAATTTAATCTAACAGAAATACGCGAATCCAAAATGGCGTAACAAACAAGAGAAATTAAAACAAACTCTAGCAAAGAGTAAACAATAGTAACAATTGTAGATTCCTTGTTGTTGTAGAAATGATCCATTAATTGAATAAGTGAATATGATGATGATGATTGAGGTAATTATGAAGACAAAGATACAGATAGAGAGGGAGAGGAAGAAGGAGAGAGTTAATTGTGATTAACAATCAATGACCAAAAAAAATTGAAGCTTCTACTTAGAAGTCTAAACTTTGAATGAGAAGATGGGAAAATATTTATGGCTTAGTCAAGCTCTCAGCCTATGAAGAAAATTGATCATAAAAAGGAAACAATTTAGTTAATTGTTACCCCACAGATCAAAGTTTTTTCACTCTCTGTTGCTGTTGTTGAAGGTCTAGGTTGAACATTCAAATATGTAAATGTATGGGTAGGCTGATTTGTCATCACTTGGGTACTAATCATTAGACTTGTCTCAGTATTCAGATTAAATATACATCAACTAATCACCCTGACAATTTATTTCTTCATCATCACAATTTTCTCCTACTTCCTCTCCCTCTCTCCCTCCTTCTCTCTCTCTCTCATATTTCTTGTAGATATTTACCTTTTTCTGAATCGACCATGAAGGTTATGAATATGGATTGAAGTTTCTTCCCATTTAGAGATGATCATGATTCCGTGAGACCTTCAATCATTTTTTGGTTTGTGGTTTAACATTAAATTGTTGGTAAATTGAATGTAACAATTAACGAAGAAGAAAAGAGCAAAGCTAATTTGGATTAATTTTCTTCTGTTTTGTTTGTTTTTCCAGTTAAAATATACTTTCATTAATCAACTGATTACACCTTTTATACTTAAGGTATTGACATAAATGAATATTCGAATGAATAATTAGCATCAACAATTAACAATCAAAATGAATTAGACGCTAATTTACTTACTAGTAGTTAATGTACATTATGAGTAACGGTTAGTATTTTCATTATTATTGTTCATTAATATGAAATCAAAGATATGAAGCAATTGGTTAGTATTTTTGAAAGTCGATACAAAAAATGTTAATCTTTTAAAATAAAATTTGAGAAATCAAACTTAAGTTTTTAGATTCAAGATATTAACTGCATTGATAATCTATTTCTGTATTTATATTTTTATGCATTTACCTTTGGACAACCTTAATATAATTTCCTGTTTTATGACCAGAATTGTGTTTAATTTTGAATAACCCAGTTAATCAATTATCGATAAACTGAACTAAATGGTTTTTAAAATTAGACGATTATGAGATGAAAGCTGAACATAAAAATTGATTATTTTGTCTGAATATACTTTTAATAGTTAATCTTTATTACACCTACCCCCGAGGTTAATGCTTTATACATTTCCATTGGACATAGTCCAACCGCCCTGAGGCCCTGAGCTAACCGCCCAGTTTACATGAATTTTTCAAATACAATTTTAAATCAGTGATTGAATAATTTGGTGGCTTCATTGGCTTGTCCTTCATTTGGTTGAATGTATCTAATGGTGACAATCATTTTGTTTAGTTTTTGTTTGTTTGTTTGTTTTTTTGTTTTTAAATATAAAGAATTTAAATATTTGAATTTTAAATCAGAATTTTTTTCAATCAAGCTATTTTAAATCATAATAATATTAAAAGTTATTGATTGTACTCCATAGATGGCAATGCTGTCTACTTTTCTTTTAGGGGAAAGTTCAACTTTTTTCGCTCCTGATAAATCCTTAACTTTACCTGTAAATTTAAAATTTAATTTCGTGTTATTATTGTTCATCTTATCACGTAGATCAAGTTAATACCATAAAACCACCTTACACTTATAACCAAGAAAATTGTTTAAAAGATTGAAATTCTAATATTATTTTCTCTTTTCTCCATACCAAATCTAATGAGTTAACCATTTTCGGACCTCAGGATCTTCATCACACCTCAACCCTTGGTTCCTAATTATAATCATCAAATTGGACATTTGGATAAGCAAAATAATCATCAATTAATCTATTTTATAAATTCTCACTTAATAGTTTATCTTTACCTGAATTTTTGCATTTCAATCTCATTGTAATTTCCCTCCCCAAGTCGTCTGGTACGACTTTCCTCCTTTTTGGAGGAGCTACAGTACTTCCCCTGTAGTATTAATGTTAAATCATCACCGCTAAGGTGACAATAAAAATTTCTAAAAATTTTAGACTAAAATATCTCTGGTCGACCAGATAATGTCGTGGTTAATATAAAAGCACGTAAAAGACCTTAATTATATGATATTCGGCAAAACATCTACTGTGCTATAGACTTTCCTTATAAACTTAGACCTTCTCACCATAAAAGATGATTATCTTGAAATCCTTAATCCATTAACGCTCATCTTACCTCTTTGCTAATGAAACTGTGTCTATTAACTATCGATTGTTGATAGCACGTTCTAAAATAAATAGTATTAAAAGCATTTAATCGTAAAATCATAACGAAAGTTGGGATGTCAATTCGATTAATGTAATTGATAGAAAATGAATTTGGAGCAAAATCTTTGACGAGAAACTGAACCTTTCATAATTTATTTTATTCTTCACTTTCAATATTGAAGCTTTGAATTTAGATTTCGAAGTTCAGACAAAATGAATTTCACACAAGATCCTTTTAAAGTTTTCTTCGCTATGTATGACCCGGGTGAATATCTTTATCGGAAAGTTTTGTTTTTCGTTATGTCTAATTTTTTAGGCAACGTTCCAATAGAATTCATATTTTTTCCTGAGAGCCGTAAAAATGAAAGTTACCAATATGTTTTCTCGTCAGGAAATTATGACTTGCTGTTTCGTTATGAAAATATACGTCATTTTGACTATGGATTTAGAAATGTGTCTATAAATCCAATAATAATGAGTGACTATTGTGTCTTCATTAACTTTTATCCAAATTCTTCGACCCTTCAATTGACAAAGGAATTCTATCTACATTTGAAATCATCGATCATTCTGTTTATCTACTCATCTCGTTGTTGTTTGTTCTTAGTTCAGTGTTATACTTGATTCGATCACATTCGATCATTGGAAGTGAAAACAGAAATAATGATCTATCTCGACTCCGAAAGTTTTCATTGTTGATGAAAAGTAAATTTGGTTTACTCTTGTTTCTTTCTTGTTTATTTTCTGGTCACTACATTTTCCATCTATTTTCAACATCGTTCACGACTCAATACTCGATATCATTACGACCACCACCAGTCAATAAATGGCCTGACTTGTATTCTCACCCCAGAGTTAATTGCACTGCTTTTGTCGAAGAAAATTGCCTTTGGCGAGTGAATGAAACATATGGCTCAGCAAATCCACTCATTCTTCTTACTAAAAAATCATTCTACGAATATTATTCCCAAAATTTTGATAAACCAATTTTATCACATTTTATTGAACACAAAGATTTAATAACACTGTTACAAATGTTTTGTTTCGTAAAGATTAATGGTAACGGGATAAATAATTTTCTCCACCATACTGGTACACGTTACTATTATGAAGAGCTTCATTCGTTAATTTATAGCACCAAGAATCCTTATAAGAAACGTTGGATTATTAAATGTTTATACGCAATCATTGAACAAGGATATTTTGATGCTACTGGAGAACGAGCGTTTAGAAAGATTCATGGTCCTTGGGTAAGAAAACAATACCCACAATGTTGGCGCTTCGAAAAGCTGAATACCAAACCTCAAAGTTCATATCGACCAATTAACTATTCTAATTTCGGCGATTTTATGTTTCTTTATCTGTCACTTAGTTTTCTAGCATTTTGCATCTTTATCTTTGAATATCTCATTATGAAATTTAACAATCGATGTCCAATGGTGTTTGGAAACCTTTAACAAGCAAAATGTCAATAATAAAATGATAAAATTTTCTTCTCATTTTTTAAGTCTCTTGTCCATCTATTGTCCAACAGTAGTAAGGAAAAGATTGCTTCTGGCTCATAAGACATTTCTGGCTCAGAGTTGACATCTCTGGCTCAGTTGACATTTCTGGCTCAAGTGACATTTCTAACTCAAGTGACATTTCTAACTCAAGTGACATTTCTAACTCAGGTACATTTCTAACTCAGGTACATTTCTAACTCAGGTACATTTCTAACTCAGGTACATTTCTGGCTCATATTAAAACCAACATTTCGTATACATCAGAACTGACATCTCTGAAACAGATTATCATTTAATATACATTTCTAACTCACACAAAGTTGACATCTCTAGAACAAGAGGGAGTATATAAGAAAGAAGGAGAATGAATTAAAAGTTAAAATGCATCTACTCGTGATAAATTTCATCATTCTGTGTCTACTCGTTATACTGTTAATAAAGAGTATCTATTATGGCAACATCAAAGAATCAGGGATCCTCCTCGCTTAAGTATGACATAGTCAATGTGGTATCACTGTGGAACATCGGACCGATACAGATCAATGTGGACAACTCTAAGCGTAAGAAGAGGTTCAATGCAGAGGTTGTGAGGAGGAAGGAGGGTGTCTTCTTGGTATTTTCTTCTGGTAAGGTGACCGCCACGGGGTTCAAAAACATCAACGTGGCTGGTGTGTGTTTACAAGAGGTTTACCCTGAGAGATCGGTTATCTTCGTGAAGGTAGTCAACATAACAGCCCACAGTTACCTTCCTTATTCATTTGACACCCATGCAATGATAGCCAATTATCAAGATACAACATATGAGCCTGAGATTTATCCAGCGGTATACATCAAAACGGAGATGGTGACATTAATTTATTACACCACTGGTTCAGTGATAATAACAGGAGCCAAAGAACAAGATGAGATTGATACAGCGTTAACTATGTTTGTAAATCGAACGTCATTGACCCGCATTTAACATTTCTGAAACATTTCATATGTCAACTGAGCCAGAGATGTCAACTCTGAGCCAGAAATGTCTTATGAGCCAGAAGCAATCTTTTCCTTACTACTTCCAACAAAATTTCAAAGAGACTGTATGAGTTTAAACATGTTTTGCCAACAAAGTAATAGCGAGTTACAAGAATCAACATATAATTTCCCGTTTTATGACCGGAATTGTGTTTAATTTCGTATTACTGTAACAATAATTGAGTAATCAATATCTTTGATTACTCAGTGGAAAACAATTAACAATTAATTAATAATCAAATTTTCTGTTTATTAATCAAAAATAACAATAGCGACTTTTTAGATACGATCTTAATAGATCGTATCTAAGATTTTATCTTTCTCTTTCTTTTTCTCTTTCTTTTTTCTCTCTTTCTCGTCTTTCTCTTTTCCATATAAATAAGACGATTTAATTCATTGTAAATCATTAAGTTTATATCTTCGATCATGAATAGATGATTAAGTAAAAAATCCTATTCACCGAAGACATTATGATTAACCTAATAAAGTTCTTATTGAAATTATGAAGTAATATTGAATCATAAGTCTACCTGAGTTCTTCATTACTCAGTTGATAAATTATCGATAAACTCAACTGAATTGTTATTAAAATTGA